AACGGGCAAGGACTAGTCAATATTAATTTACTATTATTTGGTTTGGCATTTTTCACAACGACTCGTGGGTATATGTTTCTTTTTTAAATGCATAGTCTTAAGAAAATCTTTTTGCATTTGCTCATTTTAGGAATGCACATTACCAAATCTACTCTTATGCTACAGTACAAAGGAATTTTGGAAGATTGGGCAACTTATTGTTATTAAAGCAAAACATTGTGATAGCCTATTTTTAGCTCAGCTGACGAAGTCAGATGCAGCTTGTAGAATCGCATGAATGTCCGTCCGTGCGTCCGTGCGTCTGTCCGTGCGTCCGTCAACAGTTATGGCACAAATCTTAACCGCTCGACGTACGGTCTTGATATTCGGGACATCATGGGGTTGCTCACGAAAAGGACTCGTCATGTCGAATTTGGGGGTCAAAGGTCAAGATGTGTCAATGGAGGGGGAATACTTCCCCCTTAAGTTAAGGTATAGGAGGAAATACAGAATTGTGGCACAACTCTCAACGGCTCGACCTACGCTCTTAATATTCGATGTATAGTGTGATGGGGAGGAAACCCATCACCAGCGCGAAATTGTTATATACATTACTCTTTGGTAAGTGCCTTGTACGTTAAAAGTATAATTACCGCAAAATGTTTTTCTGTTTTTAAATGCTGGGAATATGCGAAGACAGATCTTGTCCTGTGGTCATGACGTTTCTCTGACGGAACATGTGGAGTATATTTTTGCACAGCCATGCACGATTTTTATCATGTCTAAACAATAAATGTAATGACGATGCGCGTTTTCGTCCAGTAATATGTTGAATATGTGTCAATTAATATAACTAGATCTATGTAGCTGGCTCCGACGATTGTCACGATATAAATAATAAATGTAGCATGTTTGTATTGCGATAGCTAGCATGTATAATATAAATATACCCGTCACACACACGGGCACAGAGAGGGCAAGAGCAGCAAGTTGTAATACTGCGTCGCGTGGTGAGAATTAATCCAGTATCTCTTAATTCGTCCTACCTCATCACCTTCGTCATGTCACGGTTGTATCTGATTGACGTCATTTCAATTTTGCCAAGCATTATATAATTTGATGCCTGAATACTCATAGGCTAGTGCTAAGGATATTCCATACGCGAGTAGCGTTAACAAAGACACGCAGTTATGTTATAATAAATCAATGAAAGACGCTAAATGTAGTTATTTGCACTGCAAAAGTTTAGTCATCAACCTTGCATAGGTGTGATAGGTGCTAGTGGCCCACCCTGCAAAAGCACAGATGCAATAATGACATGCTTGCATTTTGTTATCAACTTCCGCTTGCTCTAGTCCATAGTGGAGAACAAAATTATCAAGTCCAATGAATTGGTAATAAAGCCTTTTGTGTCAAGAATAACGTTGTAACATTACAAATTCCTATTAGAAAATCACAGATTATGTGCTGTTTCAACAACTTCGTTACAGAACCTGTTGTGTTTAGTAAACCTACATGTTCGTTCGTATAGAACTGTATTTTGTAGTTCCAAGGTCGCAAAGATCTATTCAAGTTACTGTAGCTGAGTATCGGGTTAGCTATTTTTTCATAGAAACGCGTCTCTCGCATACTATCGTGAGATACTCAGGCTCCTGAGATCATAATAAGCACACGCACTAACTGTCATCCCCATTACATGTTGGTGTTTTAAAATCGTAATCGGCTAGAATGATTCCTACCCAGCAATTCCGTGGCTCCAATTACTATAGCATATCCCGTGCTGCATAATACACATTCAGCTTTGGTATCTAGGGCTAGGTATTCGGCCTACGACATTCAATGGGTCTTGATTACTATTGATTATGAAAAGCGCGGCGGTATTTCCATGATCGATATGGATCTGTAATGATGAGTACTATAATTACTGTTGAAAATAGCCACAGGCCAGAAACATAATTATAATTACACGTAAGATCTATAATATATGTTGAATATGCGTCTAGAGCTGCGGTTATTTGCAATACAGCTGGGCATTGTCGTCCCGTCCTCTAGTGTTTTACATGAGTGCGGGTTTCTACACGCATATTTTTGTTATTACAATGATCAGATACACATATATCAATTTTCGAAATCAAAATCGTGTTCAATGATAAATGGCTATCTATTCAACCGCGCGGTTATGTACATTATTAATTTTACATGTGAATAAAATGAGGGAATATTATACGGCTGTTTTCTTAAATAATAGACTTGTACAAATCTGCATGTGCACATTTGCGTCGGATACAGGTTTTACAAGTAGTCTTGTTGATTCTTAGATAAAGCTGTCGCGTCAAGGCTGTTGGCTCGGTACCAACGCCATTATAGGTACTTCCTCAGCCGGAACAGGTCGCGGCCCCTCCACGTACACGCACACTGCCGCGCTGCGCTAACACGTACACTAGCTGGCCGTGGTTTCTTCCCGGAAAGCTGGCCCTGGTTAGCGATTCCCGGAAAGCGGGTGGGGAGCTGCTGCTGCGCGCATGCTGCTGCGGCGGCGATGCGGACGTGCGTCCCGCGTGAATAGTAGATTCTCAGAAAGATGGCGGGACTTAGGTGGTAGACGGAACCGCTTGCTTTAATTCCTAGTCCGGGTGGCGTGATTTTTTTCCCTAGGTTAATCAAGAACATAGGGATCTAGCCAGCGCTGCTATTGGTTGAGCTTGTTTCGTCGCTCAATGACGCCACAGTGTCGTAATATTCACAGCACATCCAAAATCCATAATTCCAATAACCCTGAATAGCCGAACGAGTACAGCACAGGGTTAGGGTCACAATGCACCATAAAACAGGAGTTTTATAGCAAATATATGCGTACCGTAATCTCCCGTACCGGCCTGAATATAGACACTCCCATATGGACTAGCCACTAGTTTAGAGCACCCGGACGCGTGGTTTTTTCCCTAGGTTAATCAAGAACATAGGGCTCTATAGTGAGCGCTGCCATTGGTTGATACAAATCACGTGCCTCAAACTCCTGTTTTATGGTGCATTGTGACCCTAACCCTGTGCTGTACTCGTTCGGCTATTCAGGGTTATTGGAATTATGGATTTTGGATGGGGAGTGTCTATATTCAGGCCGGTACGGGAGATTACGGTACGCATATATTTGCTAATATATTGACTAATCGCGCGTCAATAAACTCAATATTCACAGAGAGTATAGCTAAGACATGTGTCCATAGGTATCTAGAATTTTA